GTTCAGAACACACATTGATGTCTTCCAGATGTTTTCGATTTTAAATGCCATCAGTCCCAAACAACAGCAATGGCTAATACGGAAGAGACTGCATGAGTTGGGACTAAGACATCAGGAGGAACCAGACTGCATGGTTTGAATCATAAACTGGAAGGCCCACCTGCAATTGAGCACTTTCCATAAGTTCCTATTTATTTTTACCAAAATTCAAAGAATATTAAGCTCCTTATGATCCCTGCTAGGTTTCCACAGCACAAAGCATTTTGCCTTCCTTCTGCTCCTTTAACTAACTAAACCTTTGCCCTAATGTTGGAGACTGATTCTCATGATTCAAAGCTTGAGCAGCACCAACTTTATGCTACTTTCAAAACCTGAAAACTCAAATGCTAGCTTGCATACAAAGGCTTTGCGAAAGGGCAGGGGACGGGATGAATCAACCAGATATTATAGCTAACTCAAACCAAGTTGCAAAAATAACCATGTATACCTTAGCCAGCATTGCAAGATGTTGATTCTGAACAATGGCAGTACGGTATGTTGCCAATCCTCCTTCCTCCAAGCTTGGAAACAAATAGTACAGATGAACACTGGAAATAAATGATAAAAATCACATTAAGATCCAAATGCTCTCAACTGCTGATATATGTTCCTGTCAACAAAGTAACCCTCCCAAATTACTTCTAATTTCTGCAGAGGAGGTAGTGCCCATTCCCAAACTCTACCAGCCTTAAAACCATTTCAATATAGTAGAATAACATCTCCTGCCAGATTTAACAGGACAGGTAAACACCACTGGGGAGAGATGATCCTGCAAATAATCCAGCCCCAAACCATGAAGAGCTTTAAAGGTAACCAACAGCACCTCGAATTGTACCCAGAAGCATACTGGTAGCCAATGAGGCTCAGAGAGCAGAGGTGTCACATGTGCTGAATGACCAGCACTCAAAAATGCCCATGCTGCTGCATTTTGTACCAGATGACACTTCTGAATATTCTTCGAGGGCTGCCTCATGTAGAGTGCATTGCAGTAATCCATTCAGGAGATGACTAAGGCGTGAGTGATTGTGAGCAGGGCCCCCCAGTTCAGGAATAGGCACAACTGGCACACAACACAAAGCTGTGCCAAGGCCCCCTTAGCCACGGCTGCTATCTGCTCACCGAGCAGGAGCCAAAAATCCCGAGATTGTGCACAGCATCTGTCTGGGGCAGTTCAACCCCATCCAGAACAAGAGATGAAAGGTCCCCAGAACCAGGGGATCCTAAAACCTAAAGCCATTCAGTCTTACTAGGGTTGAGCTGAAGCCTGTTGTTCCATATCCAGACCCAAAGCCTCCATACACTGAGACAGGACCCCCCACAGTATCACACAGTATCACTCAGTTGGTCCAGGGTGGAGATGCATAACTGGGTAACATCTGCATATTTATGATACCTCACTTGAACCAACGGATGACTTCACCCAGCAGCTTCATGTAAATGTTAAACAGGAGAGGAGAGAGTACTGAGCCTTGCGGCACCCCACACAGCCAAGACCACAGGCTGGATCTCTCCTCCCCTATCAACGCTAGCTGGAACTGGCCTTGGAGGAAGGAGAACCAGCACAACACGGGGCCATCCACTCCCAATCCTTGCAGTCAATCCAGAAGGGTGCCATGATTGTTATTTAATTTCTGCTCCCCCCCCCTTCCTGATGAAGTGAGTAGAAAAACAGGCCATGTATTTGATGTTTTCATCCAATTACTGAAGTGGTAAAAGAAGCCACAGGGAAGTAGCTTCCATACTGCTTATTCCAGAAATATAAGAACAAAAGCTTCTCTGCTTGAATGCTTCATATTAACACTTTTTCATACTCTGCACTATCAATAAAAACATGAATCTAATGTAAAATAATGGAAGGAAGGAAGGAAGGAAGGAAGGAAGGAAGGAAGGAAGGAAGGAAGGAAGGAAGGCGGGCAGGCGGGCAGGCCTAAAGAACAGGTTCCACAATGTGTTGCAGCTCTCAGTTCCTCCATTAAATTCAGAAAGGAGTTTTAGTTTTTGAGCGATTCTGAGAGGTAGTAAAAAGCTTCTTAAAAGAAGAATAGAGAGAAATAAATGTTAAGAGAAATAGACAACACTGATTCCATAAGCTCATCACTTACCTCACCCATACATTAATTCCTGGAAAAACTTGACTTAACATTTATTCAGCCTCTTTGCATGTTTTTACAGAAATGACTGGATGAAAATGTAGAACTTTAAAGACATGGCCTAGCCACCCTTCCTTCAAAGTAAATGGCACTGAGCTCATTCCCATTATACAGATATTTATCTGCAAGTATATTTAACCTAATAAATCTACAGTGTGAACCCAAGCAAGGTTGCCCAAAAGTAAGACTATCTGAGACTGTTAAGACCTCACCTTATTTCTCAAATAATTTTACAGATTCAAGCCACATGCGGTTAGCAACTGTGGAAGGGTTTGGAGGATTCATGTCAGCTGTGATGAGACCACAGCCCAAAGTAAGCAGATTTAGCTTTTTACAAATAAAAAGCCCTGATGAACTTGTAGTCACATTCAGAGTTTTCTGCATCTCTATGCTGCTATGCCGTGATTGACTGATATTTTCAGCCCAGGTCTGGTAGCACTAGAGTAACATTGTCCTGAAGCAGGGGGATTTTGGTAAGAGGACAGAGGGGGATGTTTATGGAAAGAATTCAACTGAGGCCTTTGCAGGGTAATGGGAAGATCTTTTGCAGACTAAATTCTCTTGGGCCGGAGATGTTCTTTGTGTTTGTTTGAGCTTCCTCTTCAGTAAATACACATCAGAGCTGGATTTTGGTTTCAGAAATATTGTGGTGAGGATTCTATGTAATTCACAGAAATGACATCAGAACAAGTTACATGTTCACAGTGCCAATTTTCAAGTCTCAAGAAAATGCATGTAAAAACATAGTACTTTACTGTAAACAGAAATACTAAAATGTGTGGTGGCATTATATAAATCTTCTGTCGTTCAATATATATTATTTTTAGGATTAAAAAAAAATATTTTTAATAGAAACAAGACAAAAGCCCAAAACTACTCCTTCAAAGTAGTTGTCAGGAGGCATTGATACTGGTAGTTTATTCTCCTTTATCTATAATGCTGCAGTACTTTTAGAGCTTCTCTTTAAATAAAGCAACTATTTTTCCTAACACAGCTGAGATCTAAAATTGGTTTTGAAAGCTGCTACCTCAGGTTTTTTTGTTTTTTTTTGATACTGCCTTCTCTCACAAATGACACTTATCAAGAAAATGGCTGCTGTTTTCACTAAGCGATGAAAAGTCAATTTTATGGGGATTTTTTGGTCATTTTTCAATACTTTTGAAAAACATTCAGAGGAAAAATGATTGAGTGATCGTCCATTAACTGGAAGGATCTTAGTGATTTATTTTTTAAAACTGAATATATATATATGTGACTGCCTGCTACTGAAAGAAAGGCAGAATGCCAAGTTTGCATTTATGAGGTCCGGATTAATGAATAACAGACCCCCACACTTTGAAAGGGGAGAAATATTTTGAAATTTACTTGGAAACACACATCATGCTTGAAATTATAGGCAGAAAGATCAAGGAGTTCCATGACAAGAAGATGAAACCATCTCAGATGATGTATATCTTTTATTTGCTGGCTGTAAACTTAGAAGCATTTGGTCCTAAACTAGCCACTCTTCAAAACAGTTATGAGCAACTCTAAATTACATCTAATGGGACAGAAATATCAGACTTTCACTTCACTATATTACACTTTAGGGTCTGAATACAGTATTAAACTTCCGAAATATCTATGGACTCCTCTTATTCCCCTCTATGGTAACATCCAAAAAATGCAACACAACCATTACTCAGAAACTGATGGACAGAAGAAATGAGCCAATAGAAAGGGAGAAGGAAAGAACCCAATACTTGGGAGCATCCCATAGGGACAATCAGTAGACTCCTTCAATCCTCTAATGTTCTTCAGCTTCAGGCACTTCAAACCAGACCCTAATCTCCAGCTGTAGGTTATCAGTTAAAGCAGATTGGAAGGGATAGGAGGTGTATTTAAAAAAGGAAACAAGAGAAGTACATGAGGGCCAGAAGATAATGAAGAATCCTCATTTTACCTGTGTTATCCCTAAGTAACATAACAGCAATAGGGATGGAAGTAAAATCTTGGCTTGGCTCAAATATGACTTAGGTTTAGTGTCATGTCTAAATAGTCTGCTTACCTTTATTTTAAGATCAGATTTCCCCTCTCTTTGTAAAACAAAACTGACTTTCAGGTACATTTCTAAAGGAATCAAATTCTTTCTACACCCATTCCATGAAGCAGTCGGGATGTGCATGAGAAGCCTATTTTTTTAACTCAACCATTTGCTGGACCATCCTAACAAAATTCCAACAGTTGACAGGTATAACACCTGTTATTGTATTTAGATAGAGACCTAGAATTCAGAATGTAGACCAATTAGATTTGAATGCACTTGGTGCATTAGACATGTTGGGGGAAAATGCACTTGGTGCATCAATCAGTGGGGGGCGGGGGAGCAGAAATGAAGCTAGGCAAATCCCTGTTTAACAGTCCTCATTTCCTATCTCTAAGGGAAAAAGAACAATGATCTAACTCAAGATATATTAGGACATAAAAAAGGATACAGTTGAATGCTTGGCACATCAGAAACACTGCATAATTTTAAAAAGGTACAGATTGGGGGGGGTAACAATGATAAAATAATACAGGAAATCACTGGCGAGAGATGCATTTCATAGGCTAAAAACAGGGTGGGCTGCATTTTGCCCTATGGTTTTAGTTATATTCCAAGTCTCCACAACCCCACCCAGCACAGCCAAAGGTGAAGTATGATGGAATTGCTGCAGTGCAACAACTTTTGAGGGCCACTTATCTGTTCTCAATGACTAAATGGAGTTCAGACATGAGAAAGGCATGATTTGCTGTATGGCAGAACACAGTGTCTGACCTGAACTCAAACACTTACCTAGTTAAAAATTCAACCACAGCATCTCCCAAAAATTCCAAACGTTCATTGTGGTTAATCCTGCAAAGAAATGTGAAGATGATTATGAGTGACTCTTGTGTACACAAGTGACACCGCTGATGGAAAACAGCCGCCCATCAGTTCTTTGGGCAATAAGTAGAGAAAGTTAGTCTCCTGCGGCTTTTCTTTTGGAATGCTGCATTCCCCAATGCACAACAGTGAATATCAGGGCTTCTCATATGCCATACAAAAGCCACGGGCAGCCTGAAAGGTAATAAGGCAGGTTATAATTTTGTGTTGACTGATTAGCAAGAGGAGAGGATAATGATGTGCAACAGCATGCTGCGAGGGACTTTTCCGTGCACTGCTATCCCTGTCAATGATTTAAAAGAGATACCTCCCCCCAGGCCATCTATAGACTCTTGGTACAAAAAAGAAATGCCTCTCACAGGGAGTTCGCTGTTTCTTGCAACAACTATAATAGTGAGCCTGACCCTTCTTCTTCAATGCTTTCATCCTCTACGTACAAGCAGAGTTATAGCTTACAAGTGGACTACATGCTTTGCATGCAAAACGTTCTATATTCAATCCTTGCCATTTCGCTCCAGAAATGGGACAGACTATGGTTTGAAACTCTGGAAAATAGCTGCTGGGCCGTGTAGATAATATAGTACTGAAAAAGATAGACCCAATGACCTGACTGGGTCGAAGGTAGATTCCTACATCTCTGTATAGGTGCTTGGACATTTCCTAGAAGTATCCTTGCCTTTTGAACAAGAAAGAAATACTCAGACTTAAAGACAAAGAGATCAATAGGCCTCTAATGGTTATTGTGCAGGAAAGCAAAATACCAAGAGTGGAACTGGGAGCCACGCCCCCCCCCCAAAAAAGATGCCATTGGTGATCAGAAATTTAATTATGTAAATCAGGAAGAAAATCTTCTGGACAATTCAAACTAATACCTTTTTTAAACCGCTGATGTGACAATTAAGACAATTAAGCAGACTATCACTTGCAAATTAGGATTATATCTTCCACTGGGTTCTGGCAGTGGCACTATGGCCTGAGTGTAGAGAGCACTATAAACACACATAGATCCAGCTTTCTACCTCTTCACTGTAAGATTCCTTGTGGGCAGCAGGTGACTAGCTTCTGGTAGCCATAACTAACTACTAAACTCAGCTGATATATATAGACTCAGGATGGACGTATCAAAAATAACATGTGGGGCCTGGGAGAAGCACATGAAAAATAAATAAACCAAAGTTTATCGAGACTTTGTGGGATCATCACTACGGTAGAAAGATGATGGTCATTCCTGCTGGCATTCCAGACACAGAAGTATACATGAAGAACCATAGCACAGAGCTTTGCGTGCAAAAAACTGCCCAAAATCCACTGCCCGTTATTGTCAACAATACTGGTCTAAATGGACCAGTATTTGGACTCAATTTATGGTAGTTTCCAATGCATCTAAGAAGTAGATTTCAAAGAATCTGAGGTAGGGTTTCAAAAGATTTGGGGTGGCCTTGTACAGGTCCTTGACCTGCCCCACGATTAGCAACAACAGAATAAATAATTTGCAGATTGTATGTAGGCCGCAGGATTCAGTCTTAAATATCACAATTTAAGAACAGGCAGATCTTTTTCTCATTCTTTTTTCTTTCAGTGTGACACCCATACTGTAGGGGATAATTGTGCCAATTATTTCTATTTGAATATCACATACAACAAACTTTTCCTGGCAACAAATAAATATAAAATGCATAGCTAACAAAGGGCTCCATTAACTGCTTAAAACAAGGGTCACAATGCACTAGGTCAACTTTGTCTGATCTTAAGGTTAAGGTCCAATCTAAGCAAGATTGGACCTGGCTAGTACTTGAGTGGGAAACCATAAGGCAATTCACTCCCATACTGTTGCCAAGAAAACTGGGTTATTGTATAGCGTCCAGATGATGAAAACAAGTCAAAGGAGACTTTTTTTTTTTGCTTTTTAATATTGATCTAGTGAATGGTCTAGAGAAGAGATGCTGAAAAATAAAATGTGGAGTTATCTTTACAACAAACGAACCCTGTCTGGAAATTGACTGTTTTATTATAGTATCTAGATGAAAAACACTCAGATTTTCAAAACTTAAGTTAAACGGTCAGCTCCATCTAAGGCTCTTTTAAAGTGAGATATCCTCAATCTAATTTATTATAACTTTTTGTATTTTCAACTTGAACATCTTCTCATAAGAAATAAACCTGTTTTCTTGCAGTGGAGAAAAAGAGAGAGAGACGGAGAAGAAGACAGAGGTGGCCCACTGCCTCCAATCAGAAGACTGACTGGAGAAAACACACTTTAATAGTGAAGTCAGCTGCTGAGAGTTGATTATATTGTTGCCAAAAAGAAGAAGTAAGAGGAAGGTATCAGCATACTTGGGGAATCCCAGTATTTGCTGAAGTACAAAATAGAAATATGTTGTATATAGGAAATGTGTGCATATATATATGGGAAGGAAGGAAGGAAGGAAGGAAGGAAGGAAGGAAGGAAGGAAGGAAGGAAGGAAGGAAGGAAGGAAGGAAGGAAGGAAGGAAGG